CTGTGATTTTATATATATCACATTCTGAGTGATATCAACCATGCCTGTTAAAAGTTACAGGATAGTCATGTTTCTCTCTCTCTCTCTCTCTCTCTCTCTCTCTCTCTCTCTCTCTCTCTGTCTTACACACACACACACACACACACACACACACCCATCACAACACATTCCTGCTTCCTGAGGGATTTTGGGGAGTCCATCATTTTCCCCGAACTATCATGATAAAATCACCTACCCATGGAGACCCAAGGCTTCTGAAGTGGTGGAGTGATGGGAGGTTTGCTGCTTCAGTAGGGTGACACTGAGTACAGGGCTGACCCCAGATTCCTAGCCACAAGATAGTCAAGTTTGACAGCTTTATCAGTCTGGATTGTTGGTGCTATAGACTTTTGTATACATTCTCCTCTGATTCTCCCCATTCTGCATTCTCCCATGATTATCTGAGTAGAATGGTTTAATACCTTGACTCGAGCCTTGGGAAAAGGTCTCAGGAAAGTTCATGATAAGTTTTTCAGAAGATTAGAATCCTTCCACTTCTTGGCATTCTGCAAGGCTAGAGTTTTGCCCAAACTCACAGAATAGTAACTAGTTACTGCATTGGATGGATGTGCACATACATATTTCTGCTTTCAAGGTCTCTTGTGTGTACTTGAAAACTGGATGTATTACCACATAGGGGCAAAAGTGCCAGTGCTGTGGTCAGGCCAGGGGCTTGGTGCTGTCCAGTCTGTGGGATGGCAAGCATCCTGAAACAGTAACAGTGGCCACTTGTGGAGAGAGTCTCTTACTTCTACTTTTATCATCCTCTCAACATTCTTGTGCCAGACTTCATTTTAGATTTCTCGTCCTCTGGCTCCTGTAGTCCTGATGGTGCATGTGCTTTTTAACAAGCTGGGCTCTATGTCTTGAACTTCACCTTCCCTCCTTCATGATGACTTCCACAACCCTCCTCACAAAGGAAGATTTTCATCTCTTTGCAGTACTGATCTTCCTAATTTCAGTCACTTGCTCCAAGTTCATACCCAGATCATGAGAGCACTGATCAAATGCCTTCATGTCCACAAACATGTTCATCTCCTGCTTCAGAATGAAAGCTGGAAGGAGCAACTTACCTGGCCCCACAGGATTCTCTGTTCCCACTCACAGTACAAATCATGACTTCTCTAGACACTGTGCAGAACAACAGGGTCATCTACCCTTATAACCATTGTGGTATCTAATTCTCCTTCATGTCAGGTGGTTGGCACTTCCTGTAGAAGTTACAGAGTGTTCAGAAGGACTTAATAGACATATTCTCATAATTCTAAAAATATGTAAAACATAAATTCCTGTCACTGAACCTCAGGAGAGATCATTTGAATAAGATATGGCATCTGAGTTTGTTCTCAAGAAGTATATGCCTGTGCTCACAACTCTAGGATTAGTCCCTGGTGCCTAATCTTTCCTTTTAAGTTTGTCTTTCATGAATGGCCTTCTAAGCCCTTATATTCCAGATCTCAGCTCCAAGGATCTGTGAATTATTTGACTCCAACTTAGACTGTATAAATACAACCAACTGTGCATTCTACCACACAATCAGGACATGGGACAGCCAGTGGCGAACAGCACAGCCTGTTCCAGGCTGCTCCCTGCTTACTCTCAGGACATGGTCCCTGCCTTCCCTTCCCACAGAACCCTCATCAAGTGACCTTACTCCCCACCTACCTAACACGAGACCTCAACCCTAGAAAGCCCTACATCCCCTCTTTATCCATTGAAATCCTTTCCATGGTTCATGGCCTAATTCAAATGACCACTTGCTTTAGTGAAGTTTTCCTGGTCACCCAGACAGATTAATGGATTCTTCTTCTGAGGTCTCTTAGGCATCTGTAGCAGGGAGGGATATGATAGGAGTCTAATTATATAAGGACTTCACAGTGTAACAGATCTTGTGACAATCAGAAATCTTGTGTAGTGTGCCTACATTGTGATTTAGTGTTTTTAACTCCATTTATAGGTTAGTAAAATAAAGCCCTAAGAAGAATATGTTATAGCTTGCTTAAGATCATGTAGATATCAAGTGGCAGAACCAGAATTCATATGTGAATCTCTTTTGGATGAAAAATGTGTTTCCCTCTATAACATCTTGTCTCTCCATTTATTCCATGGGTTTGTGTTGTGGCCTCAGTTGTTTACATCAGTGTTGCAAACTCAATTGCTTCAGGAGTTAAATGGGTAACATAGCTTTGGGAAGTTGTCAGATGTAAGTTCCCAGAACATTAACTGGAAAAGTCATGACATAAAACATTCTAATTACAAAACTCAACAAAGCTGTGTACCAAATTTGCCTACAAGCTACAAGATTGTATCCATTAAATCCTAGATTCTATGATGAAAGTGTAAGATCTTCAGGGCCAGGCCTGCAAACTACTTATCTTAAAAAACTCAATGGGGTCTGGATAAGGTTTCTTCAGAAAGTAAAGATATCCAATGGATGTCCATTCAATAGAATTAAGAAAGTAAAAGCATATCTTTCATCTTCAAATTGATAGTCATTTTGTTTCTGTAGAATATCTATCTACCCCTTAACAAGGTAATTTAGAACTATTAAAATGGTCTGATTATCTGCTCCCCCCCAACACCCAAATATACACATTTTTCTTTATCTAGAATTTGGAAATGAGAGAAGGGACACCAAGGCCAGAAATTAATTTAATTCCTTGTCATTGGCCTTAAAAATCACAAAACAGACATTTGGTTTCCCAGTGCCCCTTAAGATGTGGCCTGCTCAATAGGACAGTGTGGTTTTACCACTGAGGTACATTTTGTTTATTACCCACAGGCTCTGCTTTAAATGAGGGCATTACATGGTGGAGGCTTGAATGAGACTCAGGTGTGCCTGGTAAGTGCACCCGTGGGAACAATGGCTCTGGCCAGTTCCTTGTTCTAGAGGTTACCCATCCTCACTAGCCAATACATCAATCTAATTGGCCTCCAGGAGAAATCCTGGTATGTGGTTTTCAAAATACAGAAAATGAAAGAGAATTGCTTCAAGGAAGCCAAGATACAAAAACACTGTCAATTACTGTTGGTTTTCTGACAAGGAAGATTTATAGGTAATCTTATTTTATAAAAATTATAAAGCCTCCAAGCTAAAACTAAGTACCTGGACCCAAACCAGAGGATGAAAAGATTATGTCATCATTCCAGAATGTGTCTGCCTTCATGTTCTATTATTGTAGATTTTGTGTGCTTTAACACATATTAATTTTCTCTGTATGAAGTTTAAACTTGCCCCTAAAATAGCAGGCCCTAGTTTAGTCAGAGTTACCAAATGTATTATAAAGTAGGAGCAGGATTTCTTAAAGTCATTAAAGGTAATGACTTTAAACACATGCTCATAGTTAGAGTCATTTCGAGCAAATGGTCACTAATTTCAGAAACTTTCCCAATAAACTTTACTGTTTCAAAATCATTTACTATCATCCTATGGTTTCATTAACTACTCTTTTAAAGTCACAAAGATTTTTTTTTTATTTGTGATTGGAAATCTTAAAACTGCTTTCCCTACATTTAAGTGAAATTAGCACATTCTTTGAATTAAGTTTTGTGATAGTTTGTCTAGATTTCTTCAAATAATCTTAATTTTAAACAAATACAGTCTCTACTAATATAATATACAGGACAACCTAAGTCTCCAACAATTACTACCTAGTTTAATATTCCTGTTTTTTTTTTTTTTTTTTTAGCTTGCACATTGGGATTTCTCAATAAATCAGAGACTTGTCTTCAAGTTTTTATCAGCAATATTTGAGATGCATTGAGGTTTCTATTGATCTTTGGAAATTTTGGAGGAGGGAGGGTACTGAGGATTTAACCCAGGAGTGCTTTACCAAGAGTACCCAGTTCTTTCTATCTTTATTTTGAAACAAGGTCTTGTTAAGTTGCATACTCTTGCTAAATTTTGGAAGCTGATTTTGAACCTGTGGTCCTCCTATCTCAGCCTCTTGAATTGCTTCATTTATAGGTGTGAGCCATCATTCCTGGATGATCTTTGGAGTTTGATCCCCTTTCACCTCATTTCCTGATCCTAACATACACCTCTCCCTACTTTATTCTATCATTACAGTTATATCACATTTGGGGGGGGGTCACCAAGGATTGAACTCAGGGGCACTCGACCACTGAGCCATGTCTCCTATTATTTTATTTTATTTTATTTTTTTTTAGAGATAGATAGGGTCTCACTGAATTAGTTGCTTAGGGTCTTGATAAATTGCTAAGGCTGGCTTTGAACTTTCGATCCTCCTTCCTCTTCCTCCTGAGCTGCTGGGATTATAGGCAAGTGCCATTATACCCAACTATATCATATTTCTGGTTGCTAATATTCAGTGTTTATGTTATTATGACCATGTGTAAGTAGGCAATTATGTAAATATGATCACATACACCATGAAGTCTATATATTATATTTAATATATTTGAAATCATTTTTATTTTCCCCAAAGCTAAGAATTTGATTATTTTAAGCTGGACATATACTCCCCAGATCATTTCTTCCCACTTCACATAATTATATTACTCACCTGACTCCTAAAGGAATTATTTTCCATGATCCTATATTACATACTAGTACTTTCTGAAGAAATTTTAAAATTCCTTTCAATCTGGTCTAATATATCAATTTATCAGTTTTTATTTGTTTTTATCTTAGACATTTCCTCTCTGAAATCTTTCATCCTCCTTGTCTGATGTGTGCTTCTTGTTCTCTAGCTGTTGTCTTGGAATTTTGCTCTAGGAGATGGTAGATTACAAAATGCCCAATATCCTGAATCTATAGCCTTTGCAATAAGACTTTGTAGTTCTTCTTAGCAAACTGAAAATTTTGAATGCCTTCTCTTGAATCACAGCTGGTGTTGTTATTTACTTTGTCCAATAGAATGTAGTGGAAATGACATTGTTTGACTTCCTTTGAGAACTCTCTCTCTTTCTCTCTCTCCCTCTCCCTCTTTCTCTCAAAGATGACCCACCCTGACTGAGGCAGCCCCAAAGCTGACTGCAGACACATGTACTGATCCAAAATGAGAAGAACTCAAGGTGAGTCTCTTCTTTCAACATGCCAACCTGCAGGATCTGGAACTAAATAAATGGCTGCTACTCTAAACTGCTATGTTTTGGAGTGATGGTGCAAAATCTAATGTAACTAGTTCCAAGAGAATATGCCAGTGGGTAAAGGAAAAATGGCATCTTGACGATGGGATCATAATATTGGTCCTCATTAGGCCCTGGGGGCAGAGGATTCTTAAGTACTGCAGCAGTTTTCATTAAAAAATATGTTTAAGCCTGGCATGGTGGCATATGCCTGTAATTCCAGCTACCTGGGAACCTGAGGTGGGAGGATCCCGAGTTCAAAGCCAGCCTCAGCAAAAGCAAGGTGCTCAGCAACTCAGTGAGATCCTGTCTCTAAATAAAATATAAAATAGGGCTGGGGATGTTGCTCAGTGGTTAAGCACCCCTGAGTTCAATCTCAGATAGCCCCCCCCCAGATGATTAAGAGTTAAAAAAATGTTTAAGGGTATTCATGCATCATAAAACTTACCCCTTTAAATTTAGTGTAGAATCTGGTGTATTTTAATATATCCATAAGATTATGCAAGCATTACCACTAATTTCAAAGCATTTTTATCATTTCTAAACTCTGTATATATTAACAATCACTCTCCATGCCCCTCCATCCCATCCCTGTAGGAAGCACTAATCCATTTTCTGTCTCTATGGATTTGATTATTCTGAGCATTTCATATGAATTAAATCACATAACATATGGTCTTTGATGTTTGGCTTCTTTCAGGTAGCATTTAGTTTTAGCTTTTACATTTGGATCTTTGATTCATTTTAGTTAACTTTTACATATGGTGTGAGGTAGAGGGTCCAACTAGCTGAATATACTCAACGCATAGGTACAATTTTTCCCTAGGCACTTCTAATACAGGAGGCAGAGGTTGCAACAGAAGCTAACAAAGGCTTTCTCCAAGACACTGTGCAATCTGCATTGCCACAGAGGGCTAACCTGCAGGCAGAGTCTGAGTTCCAGGAACTAAAAATATGTAAACTCGGTAGTTAAATACATTGGATGGAAAATGTGTGCAGCTCAAAGAACAGCTACTGACTGGGTTTCCATCATTTCACATTTCTAAGCTTTGCAACAAGGCTGCAATATCTCAAATGCCACTCTGAGAAATGAGACAGCAAGTTAAGAGAGATCACCCACAGAAATGGTGAATGAATGCAGCCAATATTAATATGTTGCTGGGAGACTTCACCCAGTTGATGTTAAGTTCATAGCTTGTGTATTCCAGAAAATAAGCATCAACTTGGTAGTGATGCTGAACCAAGGATTTTTCCATCTATTCTCTTCCCTTCAGACATAATTGATTCTTTTCTGGATGGGCTCTGGCAACCCTTAGAATTAGGTTTTCTGAATTTACTTTTCCTGCAGTAATTATACCCAAATCTGGAGTTTGTCTTATTTTCTCAATTTAGTGGTTGTGGCGCCAGGGCTGGATTAACCTTATGTGTTATAATGAATTGTTCAGGATCTTAGGAAATGGATGCATATAGAAAACTGGCACTGAACTAATACTGTTCTTGATGTACAGAAGGAACTACATCCATCCCAAGGAGAGACAACCCAGAATGAAGCTACTGATGGAAGCTTAGTGTTACTGAGGCATCAGGAAATTCCTTTTGGAAACATGAAAAAAAAAAAAACCCTCAATTAGGAAGGATGGATTTTGAACTTTGAGAATTCCTGACTACAGATCTTGAACTGGGTAGGACAAGAAAAACTGATCTTTAACTTTCATGCCTTGGACTTTAACTTGCAAAGGGCAAAATTTTATTTGCACTTATATTTGGTATGTTATGTCTTTGAATTTTAATATGATAATGGGGGTGCATTTTTATTAAAATTTGAACAAGTTCTGCATTGTTGACATTTTATTATTGAATATCTGTATGCATTTTATGGGATATTTTAATGTTGCCACTTAATCTCATTGCTGAAGCTCTCATATATTCTGTTAAAAAACATCTCTGGACATTATTTAGGGTGGGATATTGGGTAGTGAATGGATTTTCAGCTTTGGATGCAGAGGGTCCCTGAAGTTATTTTAGTTACTTCATTACTCAAACTCATTTTAGAGCATTCCAGTGGGGGAAAAACTTCTATTTCTCTTTAATTGTCTCAGGAGTATAGCTGAAGCAGTGGTATTGTGGGAATGATGTCATGAAGAGCTGTCCTGATGTACCCCCATGCTCACCTGCTCCTCTCCATCCCCAAGTGACCATACACTTCATGGTTAAGTACAACGCATTGCAAAAAAAAAAAAATCATAGGAAATTTTATGCAGAAAAACTTCTATTCCAAGTGTTTCTGTCCATGTAAAGGGATTTCATCACAGTAACTTTCTACCCCTTCTCCACTTTTGCTCACTCCACAGAGGAGGATGGAGACTTCTCACTGCATGGTGTTTGCTTTCTCAAAAGCAGCATCCAAATAGCAGGCATTCTAAGAATCTTGGGCAGAAACTGCAAGGTGTATGATAAAGTAGCCTCAGAGGCTCCAGAATGGCATGCCTGATGTACTCTGCTCATTAAACGAGCCTCAAAAGCCAGCCTAGGTTCAAAGAGAGGGGAATTGGATTGCAGCTTTTGATGTGAGGAGCAGCATGCTTGTCCAGGCAGGTAGGAATGGATGGCAGCCTTCTCTGGAGATTACCCACCACAGGCTTATACCTTCTGCCATGATTTTACTTTCAACTAATCTGAGCTTCATAACAATGATAGTTCTTTATAAGCAGCATAAATTTGTCTTGGTTGTTTAATCCAACCTAATAATTTCTGTCTTTTAATAGGTATGTTTAGTTCATTTACATCTAATGTAATTATTGATAGAGTTGCCTCTAAGTCTCCCATGTTGATGTTTGTTTTATATTTAATCCATTTGTTCTTTATTCTACTCTTCCTCCTTCTTGTCTTCTCTCAAGTGAATTGCATTTGTGTTTGTGTTCTGTTTTGTCTTATGTATTATCTTTATGATTCTTTGTGTTAGATTTGTCTTACATAATTGTTTTAGAGTTTATGGGATGAACTATTAAAATGTTATCTATTTCAAGGAGCCATGTAAGAACCTTAAAACAGAATAATTCCTTCTATACTCCTTACACTTTGAATCCTTGTCATTTTAGATTTTACTACTATATATATTACAAATACCATATTCATTGCTAGTCTTTGCTGTAGATAAATGTTTTTTAAAAAATCATATATTTATATATGTGTATATGTGCTATAGGTGGATATACTACATTACATAGTATTATATGTATATTACATATAATTATGTATGTAAATTACATATAATTCTAAATAATATAAGGAAATCTTATTGTATAAAAAAATCACCTGTAATGTGAGTATGTGTGATCCATTGTGTATTAAACCCATGAGGAACATCTCTGTGAGCTCTCTTCTGCCCTGCTTTTGGTGTATGGCTCCTGGACTCCTGAGAACTCAATGAAGACTCATGGAGAAGACACAGTGGGTAGTTGGAGCCTTACTCTGTGGCTGGAGCATCTTTAGACTGCAATCTGTTGTGAATGCCACATGAAGCTGTTTAAAGTGCATTAGAATTTGGTCTATTCAAACTTTGGTAGATTTACCTTCCTCCTTCTGCTCTGCCGGGTATGAGAGCAGTGGTAAGACATTTCTTCTTGTAAAGAGTTCCTTGCTTTGTGGAACTTAGTTCATGTGGGTTTCTTTGGGTCTTCTTTTTTTCTTTAAAAATGCAGCTTTTCCAACTTTTTTTTTTTTTTTTGGTAGGATGAATGTGGCCATTTCTTATTCTTTTCTTTCTTAAAATTATAGTATGTTATTAAAACTGTTCCACTTTGTTATTGGTTATTGTTATCTTGCTAATATCTGCAGATGAATTAGAACAGAGTTTTCCAAATTCTTTTAGAGTTATGAGGCTTTATCTATATTGTTCCTTCAACTCCAGACTCTTAATTTGTCTTGCTTCATGTTTATTCCTCAGATTTTATATTAAATACATTTTCTCATGAGAGGTTTCTTCTAATAATCTTTTTATTTCTTTTCTAGTTGTAAATTGTTCTCTTCTCAGCAGTTGTCATAGTGATAAGAATAACACCCTGTGATTAATGTAACCTGCAGGAAATAGGGTTAGCTAGAGGATTCTTAAGATAGTAGTTGACTGTGTCTGCCTGCCTTGCCTTTCTTTGTTATCTTCTACTAACAGTGGCCCCTGTTCCTTTAGGGAAAAGCCTTCCTTGCATTTTATGTCGACCTGAGTGGCTATTACCCTACAGCAGTGTCTTTCTCCTCCCCTGAGGTGGGAGGAGAGATGTAAGTTGAGCCAGTCACAGCACCCTGCTCCTATCAATAGCATGGGGATTATTCAGTGCTCCCCAGTTACAGGCAACAGTATTCCAACTTAAAGACGTTTAATCAAAACAGGGAATTCATTTGTTTATATAACTGATAAGTACAAGAACTTTGTTTGAAAGATTGAACCACAGCATTTTTTTTTTCTTTTTTTCTTTGTTTGATCCCAGGGATTGAACTCTGGGATGTTCAACCACGGACTCACATCCCCAGATCTTTTTATTTTTTATTTTGAGAGAGGATCTTACTAAGTTGCTTATAGTCTTACTAAGTTGCTAAGGCTGGACCTGAACTTGTGATCCTCCTGCCTCAGTGTCCCAAGTCCCTGGAATTACAGGTGTGCACCATCATGCCCAGCTACAAGCATTTTTTTCAACATGTGGGAAATTCTCACTTAATAATAAAAACACTTCTATTCTTCTGTCCTTCTGCTATTTGGGGTATTTCCTAAGAGGTTGCTTAGGATCTAGTTTCATTACTAGTGCCTTAACAATTGGCCAATATCCTGCAGTTAAATTATTGCTCACCTTCACACTTTGTATGCTAAGTGGGAAATGCCAGAATGACTAACAAAATCAGATTATTATGGAGGAGCATATCAGTGCCAATAATCATGTCTTCAATTAATCTCAGATTGTATAATTTCAGGGATACAAAATCAACATGATATAGACTGCTTTGAGCATTCATTATCCCAAAATCTGAAATTTGGAGTACTCTAATATCTGAAACTTCTTGAGTGTCAACATATTGCCAGAAGTGGAAAATTCCATACCTGACCTCAGGCCACAGATTGCAGTAAAAACAAGCTGCGCTAAAAACATTGTATAAGATTATCTTCAGGTTATTGCGTACGGTATATGTGAAACATAAATGAATTGCATGATTAAACACAAGTCTGATTCTCAAGATATCTCATTATGTATGTGCAATATTTCAAAATTTGAAAAATTCAAAATCTGAAATACCTATAGATTTATTTATCTACCTTTCTCTTTTTTTCTTTTCTTTCTTTCTTTCTTATTTTTTTTTAATTAGGATGCCTACAAAAATTTCTATTAGAATAAAGGAGACAATAAAAATAAATATAATGGCAGTTTATTAGGACAGTACAAGCCAACGAAGAGTCCCTCAAGTGTTCTAGTATCTTGTGAGGGTGGGACATTTTCTATTAAAGTCATTTAGTGGAAGGGAATTCCCCAGGATGAGGATCTGGCTAAGCCTGATAGGCTCTGGGGCAAGGTTACTACCTCTCCAGGGCTCTTCACTTGGTGGGTTGTGATGATAACACCAGCTCTGAGTACAGGAGATTTTCATTTGATGAGTGGTCTGAACATCTACTTAGTGGTTATAAAATATCTGCTGCTGAAAGCCACAGAGCATTGATAAACAGATCCTGGACAGCTGAGTTATTGCAATCTACTTAACATGAGGAGAACAAATTATGAGTCAAATGTTCCTGTTTAATAACCTTACTCAGGGCAGACAGCCGCTCAAGGCTGGCGTTAACCCTGCGTGCACTGTGTCTGGCCAGGATCCCAGAAAGGGCCGCACAGGCACTGAAGCGGTTCAGGTGGATTTTCCATTAGAACTAAGGTACATAGAGAGGAAATTTAAAAAGGTCCATCTGGTGAAGGAAATAAACAATTTGTAAAACTGCTGAATGTTATTGAATACACTACCTAGACTCCCTCTGTGACTTATATTTCATCTCCCTTAGATTACATGTGTTGAGGCTTATTACATCTTGTCTTCAGCATAATATTGTATTCTTTGACGATATTGGGGGAAGGGAAGGACCATTTGTCTGTTCTCTATTAGTCATTTGAACCCAGGTCAGTCATCTCAGCCCAAGTACTATAAATACTCCTGTTGAAACCCGACTCCTCCACCTCCAACACTATGCTTTTCTTTAACACCGTGCAGAAAGGGATGGCTTCATCTCATTCACCGGAAACAGATTAGGGATACATGAATGAATTTAAAATGATGTGTGTTTCTGAACCAGCTCCCAAACATACACTTTGAGGTATGTATGTAGGGTGCATGTGGGAGGAGTCAAAATATTTCTACAGGGAAGAGGGGAAATAATTTTGTTGTTTCTCATGATCTGAACATTGTTCTGAATATTTTGCTTGACTGGGGCTAGAGAGGAAAGTCGCACTTACCTTAGCCAGATGGAGATGTCACCCTTCTATCCTCCATCTCCACTCCTTTCACTAGCACTCTGTTGCATGCTCCCTCCCCCTTCTCCAGCAACAAGAACACACATACACATGTGTGTGCTCTGAACCTGGGCTGGGACTGCTCCGAAGCCCTTTACCCCAACAAGCCATTCTTCATTCTTTATTTGAATATGAGGTTGATATGGCTGCCAGAAATTTACCTGCAAAATCCAAATACTCTGCAGGCATAGAATTGGAAAATAGAGGTATGCAAAATTTATGTTTAAAAAAAAAATACCCAGAATCAAATTAAGGCCACACAGTATTTCTTTTTTCTATTGGCATACTCCCAATAGTTTCAAATTGGTTTTCCTGAGCCAAGAATTTCCTTAAATGAAATGCACCGTGCTAGGAAGGCTTTTAAGACCTCTTCACCTTAAAGTGCAAGCCTCTGAATGGGGCCCTAGAAAGCAGAGTCTAGATTTGGCATGCCACTTAAACCATGATTAGTAGAGAGTATCAGCATGCTAGAAATAGCTGTATTTGTGAACCTCCTGTTCTTCAGCCCTTGACTGCCAGCCAAGCCTCAA